GTTTTGAGTTGATGCGGCGGATGGCAGAACCCATTTAGAATAGGCAGGTTTGCGGGGTTTGGGCTGACCCTTTCCCTGTCCTATAACATTCCTACTACTGAAGATGAAAATTAATGTTTTTTCATTACCTCCTATTCTCTCCTAACCCTATATTCTTTCCATCTCCTTATTCTTTCAAAATCATTACATCATAGTTTTGGTCAAACCAATAATTTAATATTTGATTTATTATAACTATGACAATTTAAATTTAATTTTTTCTTTCTCTGCAAGATACAATTATTTTTATTTCTCAATGTAATAATTGTCTTGTTTTCCTTTTTCTGTTAAATTTTCCAACACTATAAAGTTAACCCCCACAACTTTCCCTCAATCATCTTAATCTCTTATGAATGTATTCATGACATTAGGTATTTTATAAACTTGAAGAAGTATCTCCTGGAGGCTCTGATTTGCTCTAATCTGCGATGCTAAGTGCAAGCTGCCACATCCTCATTTAAGAAATTGGAGCATGTTGGAGATGCTATTTTCAGAAGCCCATGCCTTCCTTTTTTCAAGGTTTGCTCTTTAGCTTTAGTGGCATACTTTCCCTAGGGATTTTCTGAGAAAAGGGTAGATGAGAAGCAAACTTTTTGAGACTTAAGTGAAAATATCTTTAATTTGCTTTCACACATGATATGGATGAATAAAGACTATCAAGTTGGAAATAATTTTCCTTCAATAAGTTTAAGATATCAATTAACTGTTCTCTAACTTCAAAAAACTGCAAATGAGTTGAAATCTTAATCCTTTTTATGTGACACTGATTTTTCTCTGGGGAAGTTTCATTTTCTCTGTAAGTTCTTCTTTCTCCTCCCAGGGTTGTAACATTTCTTAACAACATGGCTATTCTGTCCTGGTCTGTACTGTATTTGGGGCAGTTGGCAATGGGCTTTTACTCTGAAAACTCCTATCTTCTGGTACTAAGATATTTTATTGTGTTTGTTTAGTGGTTTCTTCAACTTTATTTTCCAACATTATTTAGAAAACATTATTTAGATGTTGGACAAACCAAACTGTTTCTCTTATTTTATTATATATACCCTCTATACCCTATATATATTTTATTCTATATACCTATATACCCTCTCTTTGAATAGCCGCTTTACTGTCTGGGAGACTTACTGCTGTGACTGTCTTTCAACCATTCCATTAAGCGTCCTCTCTGAAACCCTCTAGTAATCTCCTACACTGGGAGGTATCATAATTTAGAATCATCAAAGTCTTTATTTAGAATAATGAGAATATTTTGACTGGTAAGTATTAGAACTTACTATCAATTTTGACAAAAAGTTGCTGAGATTTTCAACAGAGGCGAGAAAACCCTTGCATGTTGACTTGGCCTTCTCGGCAGGACATTGAGTCCCATAACTCGAACAGAAAGCAAAGTAAAACAGAAAAACAAACAAACCACACAAGTATCAGTAAGATGAAAGCAGATCAATATTATTATCAGACAAAGTTCAAGGCAAAAAAAAAAGTTCTACATTAAAGAAAAACATTATTTTACATAGATAAAAGGCTGTACCCTAAAATGAAGTTGTATGTCACCCACTAAGTTAAACATTTTGAGCACACTTTATCATCAACAAAATTAATTCAGCCAATATTTCTCAAATTTTAATCATTTATATAATATTTTCATGACATATTACTATTTTTTAAAAAATACTTTCTACCTTATTAAAATAACAATGGATCTTCATGTTGCTGCTGCAGACAGAAAATCAGTTTTACTGATAAGTAGAAGGAAAACATAGAAATAAATACTAAATTGTAGGTGAAATCTATACTAGTAGATAAACTTTAGCTAAAGATTTTCTCATTTTACAAAAGGGTATCTCTCACACACACACTCGATTAATTGGGAAGAACTGGAAGAGAACTGATGGGACAATCGTCAATATTATTTATTTAATGCTGCCTTCCTGGGCTACCCACAATCATCCAGGTATCAAGACTGGTTTATACCCCACCCTTGCAGAAACTCTGAACTAGATTTCAAGTGAGGAAGTTGGGAAAATATTACAGTCTAAATCAAAAGGAAATAAGAAATTAATAACTAAAAATATACAATCAAAAGAAACAGGAAAAAAATGAGTTGATATATGAAATCACAATTTGAATTATAGAAAATATAAATTGTCTGGAGAAGATGTGAGATAAAATGGTTTCCTCTCAGGACAACCTCCTAATAATGACTGTATCTTCTCTAGCTAACTGAGAAATAGGCTCACCAGAGGTCACAAGAAACTTAAGAACTGAGAAAGATAAGTCTGAGGGCATTATTAGAAACCAGTTACAAATGTTAAAAATTAATTTTATGAGTTCTGTAAAACCAATATTCAGTCTTGCAGAGAATTAAGAATAGGAAACAAGCCACAGATGGCTTATTGGGCTAGTGTCAACCTAGTAAGAGACAACTCTACACATCCCTGTAATAAATTGTGAAAAGGTGCCCATAAACAGGCATTTACACACACATGAATCCTAAAATTAGTGAATGTAGATTGGCCTTGATCTTCCTGAAGTAGGCAGAGACTCTGAATGGAAATGAATCAAGTTTTAAAGGTCCTCTCTTAGTGACACAGTGCAACTATAAACCAGAAGGTCAACTCTGTGTACATCCTGAAACTAAACCTAAGAAAGTCCTTTGAGAGTGGCAATCAAAGTAGGCTAAAATTCTGAAATGGGGGGCACAGTATCATGAATGTTGAGGAAAGGATTTAATTTAAAATCTAATTTTTACTGCATTTAATATTTCTGTTGCAGAAATCTAAAATAGAAAACTGAAGAGGGTAAAAATAAAAGAGCTATAAAAATCGAGAAAACAAGAACTTTTAGACATGTTTGAGTATGTATTTGCAACCATATTCATAGAAGTTGTCTCTATTCTTAAATTTTACTGACCAACATTGTCTATTTAGGAGTTAATGAATATTTTTTCATATAAAAGGCGGCTTTTAAAATTAATTAATTAATTATAAAGATATATTTATTCATTTATACCAGTACTGGGTTCAGTCAGAAGCGTGGGAGGGTGAGAGAATTCACCAGAGCCAGAGCGGGGGGCAGAACAAGCAGACAGACGAAGTACACTGCTGAGGGGAGGGGTGGACGGCAGGAGAGGTCTGAGCGCCATGTGCCACCCTCACTAGCGGCCAGTGATGTAACCGGAGCTGCAGAGGCTGCCGGCAGCCTCGCAGCCCAAGACAGCTTTTATTATGTTCAGTACATGTAATGTATCTCTAAATTACTTTTTAAAATATGGCATTTTAAAATACATGGCATCTTGGTATTTTATCTAGGTCATTAGCCCCTTCCCCTTTGCCAGTGATTGGATGGAAGGGCCATATGACCAAGTGGGATCAATGAGATTTGAAAAGAATTTTTCTAGGGGCTTTTGGAAAAAGCACTTTCTCATCCTCCAGGGAGAGTTTCAGAATCAGGGACAGGTTCAGGATCTCTCTCTCTCTCTGATGTGAAGTCTGAAAACTGCACAAGAAAAGGGCAGAACCATGATAACAGCAGAGAAATAAAACTAAAACAATAAGACTGATAAATTGGAACCTGTCCTATCTTTGGATTTGCAGTTATGTGAGTCTGACTGTATTGGACATCAAAGAATGCTCACTCCTTTACCTGAGAACTAATCCTGGGTATCAGCTGTTGACTGGAATTCCTACATGTTTCCCCTCCCCGCCCCCAACATGACTGTGTCAGTGTAGTTCAACATTTTACTTGGTGGCTGCCTTACCACAATGCCAGTGTTCTAAGACAACTTTGGGGAACCACAGAGCAACTGTTTTAATAAAACCATGGAAAAGCAGCATGGCCCTTTTGGAATTCATTTCAGCAGTCACTGTTGTCAGATTCTAGTGGTTATTAGCAAGTCATAAGGGCTGCCCAAACTAAAAGGCGAAGTCACGATGTGGAAGACTTTATGAGGTGGGAGATATTACGGTGCCATATTTGGTAAATCAATTTTGCCACAACCCATCCATTTATTTTATTTAATATTATTTATTTAATATTATTTTTTATTACTCTGCAGTGCCAGACGCCATTTCCGGAAAAATATTAGTAATGACACAAAAAGTGAATCTTACAATATGTCTCCAAAATAGTTAAGATCTTGGACGAGTTGGATATACTTGGGCATCCATATTCTATGAAGAATAATTAGGAGGCAGCCTGTAGAATTGTACATTAAGATGTAATCTGGAAGAAATTTAATTTAATTTTTTTTTTAAAATGCAGTAGAGGGCCTCCCCGGTGGCGCAGCGGTTGAGCGCTGGGTTGCGAGGCTGCCCGCGGCCTCTGCAGCGCCGGTTCCATCCCAGGCTGCTCCCCGGCCACCTGAGGAGGGTCCTGCATGGCGCACAGACCTCTCCTGCCGCCCGCTGCTCCCCTCAGCAGTGTACTTCGGTCCTTCTGCCTGCTCTGCTCTCCGCTCTGGCTCTGGTGAATTCTCTCACCCTCCCGCGCTTCTGACTGTACCCAGTGCTTGTATGAATGAATAAATGAATGAATGAATAAATAAAGAATAAATAAATTAATTAATTAAAAAAATAAAACCTATTTAAAAAAATGCAGTAGAAAGAACCTTTACTGAGTGGTTACATTAGAAGTGAATGAATAAATATTTCTTTCTAAGATATCTCAACAACCAAACACTAACCGGCTTCTTAGCCAATACCGTCAACGAGCCACAAACTGGTTTCCAAAATTTCCGGACTCGCTTTCCCACAATTCCCTTCTCCCCAGTTTCCCATGAATCCGAGGGCTTCAAATAGCCGCTCTGCAAGGTAGTTAAACCCGCCCCTCAGTCTTTATTGGTCATTCAGAATTGGTCCCGCCCCCCACTCTCGGTTTCAGGTGATGATTGGAGAAGAGCGAGGTTCCGTGGGCGGGACGGCTCTGACAGCCGCCGTGGAGGCGTGGTCACAGCCGCCCAGAAATCCTACCCAGGTTCCCGCCGCACCATGTACCGCACACTCCGGCTCCTCGCGTCGGCCGGCCGCGTCCTGCGGGCTCAAGCCTCTGCCTCGGCTTCACCTCCCGCTCCCGGTGGCCGCGCCGTGCTCCGGTTTCGGCTCCCGCTTTCCGCTCGAATGGTGAGTGCGGGCGGCCTGCCCTCCGGCCTCCTGGGGGTGACCTTCAGCCCTCTCGCGGGCCGGGCCTGGGCCCGGGGCCGGCGGCGCGGATTCCCGGGCGTCCCGCCGGGCCTCGGGGCGCCTGCGGGGCGGGGAGGAAGCCTCGGCTCCTGCGAGCGCTCGGGGGGCGCCGAGGGGCTGCCGGCCGGCTCCCGCCCCTTCCCGGGTGCCCCGAGGCCGGGCTGCTGGTGCGGATTTGAAGTAGCCGGTTATCGGCGGCGCTTACTGCTGGGCCCCTGCCGGAGCGGGGTCCCCCGCCCCTGGGCGCCGCGCCGGGGACAGCCCTGGGGGGTGCGCGGCGGAGAGGGCGCCCCGCTTCTGCCCGGTTGACGCTGGTCGAGAGCTGGTCTAGTCGCCTCTGGACTGTGCCTTCTTAGGTCACGACCGTGCAGTGAGCTACCTGCAGGTCTAAGTTCTTAGGAACTTATAAGATTTTTCTTCTCATGAAATTGCCTATTTAGCTTGTATATGGTTTTGCCCACTTCATTTTTCTAAAACCCTGACGTTTGAAACATGGGCAGTGTCTTGAAGCTTATTAGACAAGATTGGATACGGCCTAGCCTTTGCTTAATGTGTACAGTTTTTTCAGAAAATTCTCTAATAAAGAAGAGGTTCAAGTTCAAGTTATAACACAATGAAGGACTGACTCATCAAAAAGAACGCATTTGCTTTTCTTCTTTTTCCTGTCCCTTGTTTAAGATTTCTAGAATAACTATAAGAAAGAAAATAATCAAAATCAACAAACAACTATGAACCAGAGACACTTTATGGGGGTGGGGGCCGGGGAAAGGAGGGATGGGGTCAAATAAGGGGGTTGTAATTGTATGGGGAATATAAAAATAAAATTTAAATTAAAAAAGAACCCTTTTGCTCTTTAGGTGTCACCTTGGTAATTATGTCTTTAACAAGCATTACATGCATATGCACATATGTATATTGTTAGGAGAAATGTGGGAAATAAGTGATAGTTTTGGAAGACTTACAGTTCCCTGTTTACTGTGCTGTAATGTAAGCTTTGCAAAGAGATGCGATTTCAAATCCTCTGCTACTCAGAGTGGAAACTTTGTACAAGTTACTTTTGTGCCTCAGTTTCTGCATGCAGAATGAAAATAATTACAGTTACCTAGCTCGTGTGAAAGTTCTTTGATCAAGTTGTGAATACTCACTATTCATGTAGTGAGGGCTCATTAATGGTTCTTATTTAGGGTATTTCAAAGGCCCAAGACATTTTTCCAGACTATAAAAACACATAATTTGATGGTGTCACTATACCTGCTTTATGTTCTTTGAACTCTGCTCTAATAATTCTGGTGCATTTTAGAGCCTTAAAAATTACTTTAAAAAATAACGTTGCGTTTTGTAAAAGGAAATAATAGGAGACTGGAGAACTGACTCTATCCTCTTGGCACAAATGTTAAAAATAGCACTGACTTTTATGGTTGGAATATAAGCTACTTTTAGATGAGGATAGATTTTGTTTTTCATAATTCTTTATTTATTTATTTATACAAGAACCGGGGTACAGGCCAGATGGGCGGTAGGGTGAGAGGATTCACCAGAGACAGAGTGGGGAACAGAACAGGCAGACTGGCAAAATACACTGCTGAGGGGAGCAGTGGGTGAGACAGGAGAGGTCTGCTTGCCATGTGGGTATCTCCGCAGCTAGCAGGGATCTAACCGGTGCTGCAGAGGCTGCAGGACAATTCATGGAGCTGAGCTCAACTGCATGTGCCACCAGGGGAGGCCCTGTTTTTTATAATTCTGAATACATCATTTACCCTCTAATTTTCTCAATTCCAAAATATCTGTGTTGATTTTATTAAAGGTTTTTTATGTTGCTAAGTGTTGAGAAATTCACAAGACCCTAAATGCCCTTATTTACCTTTCATCTAAAAGAACACATGACAATTCATTCAACAGGTAGATAACATATTTATTGAATACCTGCTATGTCTGGGACCCTGTGAGTAAGACAGTTACTGTGAGGCATAGAGTTTAAAGACTGCTGGAAGCAATTGAATAAGCAAAGCAATTAAATGATCAAACAAATCAGGCACAGATAATTAGAATGTGATAAATGCTGCCAGAAGAAAAAGTACAGCGACTATGAGAATATACAATGGAGAATAGCTATGATACGGCCTTCTAGTTTGGTAGATAGATAAACTACTAATTTTAAAGTTTCTTTCCTTTATTTTGTTAATTATATTCAGGATGGACATAAAGTCTGTGTGTAATGTAATATCAGTAAATCACTTATTACATTTTTGCTAATATTTCAAGACTTGGTGGTCACCCTATATTTTATGGCCAGACAGACTTTTTCAGAAAGAAACTGAAACGCTAAACACAAATCAAATTTTGGATTTTTATATTTGGAGAGAGTCTTTTTTCATGAGAAATGTCTTAATTTTCTTGAACAGTGAAATATTCTTTTAAACCACTTTAGTCTGAAAATCTAAAGCATTTTACCTTTCCTTTATTAGATGTCATAGTTTAGTTAATGGTTCTCTTACACATGTATGTGCATGAGACATGTTTTTTTGACCTTTTCAGTTTAGACTAGCATGTAAATTTTTAGACCACTTAATTTCCTGAGGTTTCAGGGATTAGTAGCTATTAACATTACTGGTATTTCAAAGGTCTGTTAGCTATCATACTACATATTGGACCCATCATACCCACTCATGTGCTCCAGGAGTGGAAATAATTGTGAATGAACGCTTATCTATCAGGAACCATGGGAAATTGCACCTTTGTGCCTGCCCCATACCTAGCTGGTTAAACTCTAACTCATGGTTTCATCCCTGAAGTGACAGACCTTCTCCTGGAATTTCTGCTCTCTGATTACAGGATAGACTATATAGATGAATATAAATGAATTTAAAATTTTCCAATATATCTTACAATATTTTATATTAAATAATTTGTATTATTTACATGTGACAATGATTAGATATATACATGTGTACGTGACAATGATTAGATATATACATGTGTACGTGAGATGCCATTCATTACTACATTTTTCATCGTAAGCACTGATAATTTTCATAGTAATTTAGGTAAGCCACTGGGAAGAGATAAGGTATATCATAATGTAGAAATGTTTTGAAAACCACACAAAAGTTTTAAAATCTCAGATGGATTTACTTGTGGATGGCAAAATCTGTGTAGTGGGTAGGTGCTAGCATTGTTGTTACTGTATTGACAGAATAGAGTAACAGAATTATTTTCATAACATTGCTTCATAAAATTTTGGTTTCAGTTTTGTCTGCATAGTGTGTTTATGTATATACTCAATCATGGCCGTCTTTGTAATGAACATTTGAAAAAATTTGACAAAGTTACTAGTTCATTCCTCTATCTGTGTATGTAAACACACCCTTACACACACTTACACACAGGTACACACACATACTTATCTAACAGATGTTAGACCTGCATAGGCCTAGACTCTTTTAACAATTTTTTTCTAATTGTAGAGTATTTTACAGCATTTTTTCAATTTCTGTTCTACAGGTTTGTGCAAACTTTATATTTCCTGGGATTAAAATTTTCAGCTTTTTGGAATAGCTTCTTGTTAGCTGAGTTCCACAAACAATGTGCAACTTGGGAATGCCATTGCAAATTGAAAATATTTATTTTTCATAAGTACAGTTTATTTTTGAAGTATTTGCTGAGATTGCATTTCAGCCATAGTTGACATATGTACATTTTAAGAGGTCAGTCTCAAATCGTAATTAAGTGATTTTTGAATTAGGATTTTTTTTTTTTAGCTGAAAATCATAATTTATTCATCTAAATCTTTCCAGGTAACTTTGAATACATCTAAGTTTTATTCTAGCAACCTGTTCTTTGATGAAAATTTAATAATTTTGATTATAAAAAGTTTTGCAAATTTAAGGCACCTGATTTTACAAATGTTTCATGGGAACCAATCTCCTCCCTTTGGTGCGCTGAACTCCGTTGCTTTCCCATATGATGATGATGAAGAGAAAGAACCTACCTCAGGTTTCCAAGTATCACTGCTGAGATTGATAGTGTTGTTGGGCTAAGGTATATTTCAACCTATAAAAATACTAGAATATCTGAAACAAAGATCATAGACTGTATGGTAGGCTGGATCAAGGCAATATAATAGTGCAGACATTTTCACTTGTGGGTTGGAGATATAAAACCTCACTTGCTTTTAGTTTATAGGGTAAGAATCTGATTGTCTACCGCTCTCTGTTAGAGAAAAACCTAACCATATAGCTGTAGCGCCTTTTGTTTTGCAGGGTAGGGGTACAACTCAAGGGCTTATTATGTGCTGGTCTGGATTTACTCCTCTGTTATTTAGCTTACAGAGGTAATGATAAAGTAAATCCAAAAGTTTTTGGAATTTGACAGGCCCACCCGTACCACTGTGCAACCTTGCTGATAATGCTGACATTTTATCTTTATAAGTCTCAGTGTCTCCTTCTTTAAGGTAGGGTTAGTAATAGTAAAATCATCCATAGTGGTTGTGAAAGTCAAGTAAGGTAGTAGAGTAAATGCCAGAGTGTGATTATATTTATGAGCTGCTTCCCCTTATTAGCTGAGGTCAGCCCTCTGTAGACTTTTAGGCCTAGAAAAAAATGTACTTCAGGGGCCTCCCTGGTTGCACAGGCAGTTGAACACAGTGCTGTGATGCTTTCCACAACCTCTGCATGCAGATTCGATCCCAGCTGGCCAGGGAGATACCCATGTGGAGCAGCAGACCTCTCCTGGCTGGCCCGCTGCTCCCCTCAGCGGTGTATTTCAGTAGATCTGCTTGTTCTGCTCCGCACTCTGTCTCTGGTGAATCCTCTCACCCTCCCTCACATCTGACCTGTATCCCAGTTCTTGTATAAATAAATAAATCTTTTTAAAAAACCAAATGTACTTAATTAGTTATATTCCTATTTTCTTTTTTTTTTTTAATTTATTTTTATAGAGGCATGCTTTATTTATTTATTTGTTTGTTTGTTTGTTTTTGTTTATACATGCACTGGGTACAGTCAGAAGCGCGGGAGGGTGAGAGAATTCACCAGAGCCAGAGCAGGGAGCACAGCAGGCAGAAGGACCAAAGTACACTGCTGAGGGGAGCAGCGGGCAGCAGGAGAGGTCTGCGCGCCATGCGGGACCCTCCTCCGGTGGCCGGGAGCAGCCGGGGATCGAACCGGCACCTCGGGCAGCTTTGCAACCCAGCGCTCAACCGCTGCGCCACCGGGGAGGCCCAGTTATATTCCTATTTTCACATAGATACAACATTTCTCTTTACATGCAGTAGAAAAGACTGTATAGGTTTACATCTGCAAAATCTAGATTATTTTTATTACGCTATGTGCAAAGTATTTGTACATACCTAACTTTTGTTTAAATAAGTAATATTTATAAATTTTAAAGTATTGTTCTTTGACGATTTTGTGAAACTCTCAGTACAGTAAGTATTAGCGTAAGTACATTAAATTTGTCAAAGCTTAATTAATAATTAATATTCTAATTAAAAACAACTGCTATTTTTACTTCAAAGACTTTCTTTTTGTCATCTATGTAGTGTATGAAGTCTACAATCTGTCTTTAATATATGCTTTTGTCTTTGTGGTACTTTAAGCTTCTTTTCCCTTACAACTAATATGATGCTGTTGTTTTTTGTATTTCCTTTGAAGTTCTAACAGTATCTCGTCTTTATCTTTAGGCAAGCCAAAATGCCTATCGGATAGAATATGATACTTTTGGTGAACTTAAGGTCCCAAACGATAAGTATTATGGTGCCCAGACTGTGAGATCTACAATGAATTTTAAGATTGGAGGTGTGACAGAACGCATGCCAGTAAGTGACTTTTGTGGAAACATTGCTTTATTTTGGATGACTTAAACTATTGAGATTAGTCACTTAATTTTATAGATAAATATTTTTCAATGTTAAAATATAAAGTAATTAGAGAACTGACTTTGTGAGTAATATTTTTCTCTTTTATTAAAGTGTCAAGGAACTTTTTGAAGTTTAAGTTTTTAAACTGCAACTTTGAATATTTTGAAACTTTATTTGCTGGAACTAAGTGATTTGTCTTTACATTCTTGCTGGGATTCTTCAAAAATGTAAACATTTTTAAATTTCAGTACATAGTTTTTTTAAAAAAAAACAACTTCAAAGAAATTAGATTTTTCTTTCATATTATACTTTCCATCCAGCCTGGTTTTGCTTTTCAGAAAATCATACATAAATACATAAAAATATCCCTTACGCATATAATAGGTAATATGTAACAATGTATTCAGTGCTACATGAGTAACTAATGATTTGAAAACGTTCTACCGTATTTCATTAAATCTAAGGTGACATCAATTTGAAGACACATTATTGTGTAACACTAAGAAGGCTGCCAGTAAAAACTGTGATATCACTTATAAGATGAATCTAGATTTTCAGATGTTAAATTATGATATAATTGATAAATTCATGAAATACATTACATTTCCTACCAGAGTATGAGAAATAGTCATGCGGGAATGCAGGAAAACTAGAAGTAGTCAGGTTTTTTTCCAGTGAGATATTTGAATATAATTTTATGGTAATTTTTAACTTTCATATTGTAGCTCATTCCTAAGCTTTCAAGGCTAAATTTTGATAGGTTTACATAATTTCATGACAGGCAGCTGAATCATCTTTGAAGATAATCTTCTTGTTATTGTCACCTGCAGCTAGTTTGTGGATGAGGTGACAGTAGGGTTACACTACATGGTTGGATCACAAAGGATAGCAACTGATCCCAACATGTTCTCATATGGTTCAACTCTCGAGATAAGGAGGTAGGTGCTAACCAACAATGGTAGGAGTAACCATGGCTCATATTTTGATTGAAATTCAACCAAAACAGCTCAAACCCCAGGGACTAGGATGGACCTAATTGGTGGTGGGTTCTCATCTGTGTGCACTTAAGAATGCAGGACATGACATAAAAGCAGACAGGTGATGAGAAAGGGCTCTAACAGGTTTAATTTACACAGGGAATGGGAAAAGGGAGTGCTTATAGAGGGTACTTTTAGGCTGGCATGTAGAGAGATGCCATCTATCCTACCCCAGATAGTGTCTGGTGAGCAGAGACCAAGGTCCAGGCCAAAACTGCATCTATTAACTGCCAGCTGCTCTGCAGATCTCCCTTTTCCCAAGTGGTTTCATTGCCAAAGCACCAGCAGCTTTTTACCTGCCTCAACCCTAACTCCACCATTTTTCCTCATGTGGCCCTGTTCAAGGGTTGGACTTTGGAAAGCTCCTCATTCTACCATCAAGTTGACTGTGAACATCAATCACTAGCTTGGAGGTTGATTTTCACTGTTCCTATTACAATTTCCCTATTTTGAATTTTTGTCACCATTTATGTGGTAATGAAAGCTAAATGCTAGGGTATGGACTCAGAAGACATTTTCATTGGGGTTCACAGGAAATTGCAGTCACCCCAGGGTGCCTCCCTTAGCCAAATCAGTATGAGAAGAGGAAGCCATTCTATTCCTATACTGTGGATCCTCAATAACCTCCCCAGGAGAGCAACTAACTTCTTTAGAGGGAGACTATTGGATTCAAAGTTTCCAGTAAAAGAAATAGTCATATTTTTCTATATAACTTTGCTTTGATTTAGTTTTTTTTGTTCCAAGTTACTGATCCCGCTCATGTAGCTTTTGATTTTCCTTTTCATTGCACATAAGGCCAGTCCCTATAGATCTTCATTTTGTGTGTGGTTAGAAATGAAAGTCTCCTTATATTTACTGTAGTCTATGTGATCTGGGAGATACTTCTTCCCAACTGCCATATAATCTTCAGGAAACTCCTTCACGTTCATCAGTGATCTAGAATATAAAAATGGTACCCAGACTTGCATCTCTTGATGTGAATAACCCAGCTACTTTGTGTGATGAAACTTGAATTCACTTTCAGTTGAGTTCCCAAAATAATTTCAGATGACAGAGAAAGACATCAGGTGCCCTCAAGGGCATGATGGTAATAATTATAGACAAGACCACATTGATTAAGAGACCTTAATAAGAGGGGACCTAAATAAACAGGCTCGGAGTTTGACTGCTCATCCCTTGGGCCCAGCCACATTGTGAAGCAGCATGATTTATTATTTATATAATAAAGTTGATCATTCCCTTTCCCTAACATGATTATTATACATTTATTTATTTATATTTTCATCTTAGGCCAGGGACTTCAACCTGTTTATTTCTACTTTTCCATCTTCTAGCAATGCCTGGGAAAAGTAGATAATTAATAAATATTTATTGAATTATGTAATTCAGTAAACTATCAATATTCTATTATTTGACTAAGTTTTTATATATAATGTTCTCTTTTTCTCTACATTTTTATGATACAAAAATTAAAATTGTAAATTTTAAATATTTGCTCAAATTAGTGAAAATTGCAAAAATAAAAGGTAGGAAGAAAGAAGAGAGCGAGGGAGGAAGAGAGGGAGGAAGGGCAAAAAGAATAGCTTGGCCACAGAGATGCAAGCTTTAAAAAATTAAGAAAAAAAAAAAAACAAAATCAAAATTAAGTGACTGCTGGGACATTGTAAAATTGGAAAATGTCATAAAGTGGAATTATGAAGTAATTGTTGAGAAAGAAGAGTGAGTGAAAATATATCACCCCTCCCCCTGCCAGTATCATTGTATAGAATCACCTGCTTGTGACTATTTTTCTCCTGGGTTTCTTTCAAAATCTTTTTTTTTTTTAATTTATTTATTTATACAAGAACTGGGGTATAGGCCAGCGGCGCTGTGGGAGGGTGAGAGAATTCACCAGAGACAGAGCAGAGAGCAGAACAGGCAGACTGAAATACATTGCTGAGGGGAACAGTGGGTATCACAGTGCTGCATTCTACCCGCTGCACCATTTGGGAGGCCCAGTTTCTTATAAATTCTAAAATGTCCTTTACTTCATTGAACTGCATATAAAGGAGACTAGTTATGGTATTTATTTTGGAACCAGAAGTGGTTTTGAATCCCCACTTACACACTTTTTAGCTGTGGAGTTTGGCAAATAATTTGCTTTAACCTTTTTAGTCTCAGATTTCATATTATTAAAATAAGGATAACAATAGCTAACTCAGAGTGTTGCTGTGACTATTAAATGTGGTAAGTCATATAAAGCTGATTACTACCAAGTTAATTAAAAATAATTGGCATTTTTTATTGTTATAGGTAATGTTCTAGAAAGATACATAATGAAAATTCATTCTAAAATGAATAAAATTGCTCTTTTCCATTGGTAAAAGACCTCAGGGCCTAGGGGAACAGTAGATTAGGGGACATTAAGATGTGGAACCTCTGTCACCACTGCCCAACATTATTAACTTGATTGTGTATTGGCATCAAATCCTGAGTTTAATCTATAAGTTGTCAAATGTTGGTACAAAGAAAGAAATTAACATGTTGTGTGCACTTATTCTGTATTAGGCACCATTTAAGCTGCAATACAAGTGTTATCTCATTTAATTTGCTTCTCATACAGACCCATTTGGCCTGTTTCTAAAGGAGGTAGACATAACTCAAAATAACAAATTAACCTTCCCCAAATCATGCCTATAGTTATGGAGATTTGGAATTTGAAACCAGGACCGTCTAGCTCAAAATTGCATTCTCTTTTTATTTTCACACACTTCCATGCCTGGAATTCACTGAATTTTGCTCTAATTCTGAAACATCTGTCTCAGGAATGAGAAATCAAGTAGAATTGATTGATGCTCAGAAAGTAGCAGAATGCATATGGTGAAATGCAGATGTGGTCTACAATCCCAATGTTTTTTACCCAAATAAATGTATTTACTTTAACAACTTATTTTAGAAGTATATGTTTCTTTTCTTCTATAGAGGAGCACAAGAGATTAATTTTATTCTACAAGTCTACAGATTAGGCTTTCTACCGGGTATTACATAGTTGACTAGGAGTAATCCAGTACTCCAAAGCAAGGGAATTTTTCCTTGTAGGGTTTAAAAAAAATGACTTATATACGCAAAACAATGGCCTCTTACACCCACACTTTTAAATTGATGCATAATTGATAGCTGATTGTGTATAAAACTATTTGATACCGCTTAAAGATATGATGATTTGTTATATATCAAGGTATTTCACAGAATTCAAGCTCAGGAGTGAAACAAGACTTCAAGCAGAGGACTCAGTTAAAATAGGGAAAGTACTCAGGAATCCACTCTATTTTATCTCTGATTCTGTGATATTGTGAAATTGTGAAATAGCTTTCTGTTTCTATGTTCTTTGTGTGAAATATGGCTGTATAAAATAAGTGTTCATGTTCCATTTTGGAACATATAAATATCTAGCCACTAAAAAAAAAAGTTTCCAGTAAAGCATCTTCCTCTTCCTTTTCTTCCCTTGTACAGCTGCCAGGGTAAGGGGAAGACTGCTCCCATTTTGTGCCATCAAATTTTGATCCATCAATAGAACATTTTCCCTTTAACTTTAGTATACAGGCTAAACAGTGTTACATTTAAAAGCCATACACTTCCTATACAGTGATCTACACTGAACTTGTTCCATTCAGCCTGAATTTGTCTTTTTGAAAGTAGACTTCTGGCCAGAGTAAAAGGCTCATTCCTGTCCAACTGAAAACAGTTGTGGAAAATGCTTAAATACACACCCAAGAAAATCCCCAGAAGCACAAGTCCTAAACTAGAGGTTGAAAATGACTTACAAGTCTATGCCTACAGTACCTCCCAAAAGGCCAAAATCAGCTGCAATATGTCAGACTTTACCAGAGCAACGAAACCAAAAAACAAATCAAACCACAGAACTTGAAGTAAAACCAAACTCCTCTAAATTAGAGACAGAAATATCCCACCATGTGTCCAGCAATTGCAACGTGCTTATGGTGGCCAATGAAATGGGTGTCCCTTTGTTACCAGAACCCAGCCGCCTCAGTGGTGGGAGCAGGCAGCAGCAGTGTTCTCTCACCCTGCTGCTCCACCACAAGTCAATTGTGGCAATTGCTCCTCAGAACCCTTTTATGTAACTTGTGTACTTCCTGGATGGTGGAATGGACCAATCAGGTGTCATCTATGAGCTGATTGGTGCTAAATGGGCCAACCGGCCACAGGATTGAAAAATGGTCCAATCAGACTTGTGGGCTGAGCACCCTGAAAGAGGAATAAGCCAGGGTTGGAGGGAGCTGAAAGGGGAAATGATGCCAGCTCCTTAACAGGAGAGTTCCAGCCCCCTAAGAGGAGAGAAGACTCCAGCCCCCGAACAGGACAGATGGTTCCAGCCTCTGAAAAAAGGAAGAAGAAGGAAGGGGAAGACTCCATTCCTGGCCTCCATGAAAGATGAAAAGAGCATCCAGCAGCCGACCTCCGAAGAGCCAAGAAAAGCAGATATCTGTCAGAGGCCCTGGGCCTTATGTCTCAGAGTTGTTTGTTGTTGGTATAGACTAACTCACAAAGAGCTGTTAACACTTGGTGTCTCTGACACCATCTCTGAGGGACCAGTTAGTGATTAACATGACTGGCCAGTGCTGTCCAGCACTCCTGGTGACCAGTAGTGACCATCATTGATGCTATCTGGATGAGCTATCCAGCCACTTGTGGCCATGGTGAGCTCTTTGTTTCCCCTCTTTGTAAAATAAACCCTATGGATGTTTCTGGACCCTGAGGTCTTGCAATTGTGTACAAGGGTGAGAACCCACAGATAGCAACCTGTCCTCTTTTCGGGCACTGTCCTTTGTTTGACTATAACTGTGTGGGTATTGTTTTGCTATAGCCCTTGGTTTTGATTTTTGGCTCTTTGGCCTTTGAGGCTTTTTGGCAGTTCTCTTGTCTTAGAGCCCGGGCAGTGGGTGGCTGTTTCATCCTTCCATCTGGCCTCCTGCCTTGTTGCTTCTGACAGCCCCTATTTCACTTTGAGCTATCAAACCATAGGTGTCTGGCTTGAAGTTGGGTATCAGGCTGAAACAGGACAAACCCAGGGACCACAGTTGACCCAGTTGGTGGATCCTCACCCTAACGCAAAACACAGGACCTGACTGAAAGGGGGACACATGGTGAGAAACACTGTAACCAGGTTGATTTACAGAGGGAGTGAGAAAGGGTAGAGCTGAAGTTGTTTTGTTTGGTATGTTTCTCTATATTCAACCCACATATGAGTGCGGTCATATAATTTTTGTCTTTCTCCTCCTAACTTATTTCACTTAGCATAATTTGCTCAAGTTCCATCCAAGTTTTTGCAAATAATAAGATTTCATCTGAGTGGTACTTCATTATGTAGCTAGCTATACCATGTGTTTTTCCATTCATCTGTTGATGGATAGTTAGGTTGTATTTTTCTCTTGCTTATTGTGAATAATGTTGCATTGAAGATAGGGGTGCATATATCTTTTCAAATTATTGTTCTTATATTCTTCAGATGAATACCCAGAAGTGAAGTAGATGAATTATGTGATACTTCTTAATTTTTTGAGAAATCTATGTCTATTCTATTTTCCACGGTGGCTGCACAGTTTAGATTGCCACTAACAGTGGATGAAGATTCCCCTTTCACATCTTCAGCAACACTTGTTTCTTATATTTTTGATAATAGTCATTCTAACTGCTGTGAGGATATCTCATTACACTTTTGATTTTCATTTCCCTAATAATAAGTGATGATTACCATCTTATGCCTCCTGGTGAACTGTCTATTTATATTTTGTGCCCATTTTTTAAATTGTGTTATTTGTTATTTTTGAGTTGTTTGTATATATATTGGATTTTAAACACTTATTGGTTGTATGATTGGTAAATATCCTTTTTTGTTTGTTTTTTAGAAAAAGAAAACATTTATTAAGGAGAAAAGGAACAGAAATAAAGTAGGACTCCCAGGCTGGTGGAACCAGGCCAGGGAGGGGCAAGTAAGCCCTGATATATATAGTCTTCCATTCAGTTGGTTGCCTTTTTCATTTTAATGATTTTGTTGTTGTTGTGCAGAAGCGTTTTAGTTGGTGGTAGTATCATTTTTTTGGTACTGGTTCTCATTTGTTTTCATGTTTAAAGTTTTTATTTATTTATTTATTTATTTATTATATTTGTTTGTTTTGTTTATACAAGCACTGGGTACAGTCAGAAGCGCGGGAGGGTGAGAGAATTCACCAGAGCCAGAGCAGGGAGCAGAGCAGGCAGAAGGGCTGAAGTACACTGCTGAGGGGAACAGCGGGTGGCAGGAGAGGTCTGCGCACCATGTGGGATCCTCCTCCGGTGGCCGGGGAGCAGCCGGGGATCGAACCGGCGCCGCAGAGGCCGCGGGCAGCTTCGCAACCCAGCGCTCAACCGCTGCGCCACCGGGGAGGCCCATGTTTAACGTTTTAAAGTTTATAATCCTGTATCATTTGTCTGCATTTCATTGGGTCAAAACACATTTTAATTTTTGTTTCTTAAAATATAGAATAAAAATGTTTCACGTTTCTTTTCTGTTTCGCCTACAAGTTATACTCACTCACTGGCTTAGGTTTAACGTGTCTTCTCTTTGCTGTTTTTATTTGCTTTTCTACTTTAATTCTTCTCCAAAGACTTTAGTTTTTCTTATAAAGATTTATTTTCATATGCATACAAACTGGGGTATAGGCCAGAGGTGTGGGGGGTGTGAGAGGATTCACCAGAGACAGAGTGGGGAGCAGAACAGGTGGATCTACTGAAACACACTGCTGAGGAGAACCGCAGGCAAAATAGGAAAGATCTACAGCTCCATGTGGGTTAGCTTCCTTGCTAGAATTTGAACTCAGACCACAGTGGCTGGCAATAGCTTGATAGTGCTGAGACTTTAAACCCTGTGCCACCAGGGAGGCCCCCCTTTTCTTTAATAAATTCTCCCTCTTCCTCTTCCTGTCTCCTTCCTGCATTTTACCTATTCAAATTTAGAATGGCATCTGTACAACAAATCTGTCCTATTAATCTGTTATTAATTTTGACAAGAACACATAGCTCACTTATTTTGCAGAAACCAAGTATCATTTCATTGAAATCTCATCAAATGTTATTATTTAGTTTATTTTTTTTTTAATTTGGTGAGGTGATTTAGAATAGAAACTGAACAGATGTTAAAATATTGTGATTATATATATCAGAAGTTAACAACTTTAAGTCTGCAGAAGGTTGGGTGGTTCAAAAATAATATTTCTGAGAGAAATTTCCACTGATAATATCAAGTAATTAGGATATCATGTTTTTTTTTGGCTTTTGGATGAAATAATGCCTATTCAGCAACTGATGATTTCACTCTAAATGACAATTTCTATGTTACTGATTTTTTTTTTTTTTTTCCAGTGAAGAAGGGAAATTATAAGGTAGCCTGGGATCCAGTGAGGGAAAATAATGGTGCTTTCTAGTGAAATGCTCGCTGCTTACTTTTACATATATAATACAAGCACATATGCATTGTGATCTATTATAAAAATAGGTGCAATCCTACATTATTTATATGTGATTATGTGTGTGGCTGTATAAAATATGTATATGTATGTGTGTAAGGCATATATACATATATAGTCAATTTATTTTTGTTCAGTTCCCTAAACAAATAGATGAGTGATGATTCTCGGTTCATTATATACCTATCTGTATTCTTTATATCCTAAACATTTTGGGATCATAGTATTTCTTAAGTTACTATTTATGTGCACATTGCCCCCTGTATAAAACAATAAATTTTTATGCTTAAGTAAGATTGAAAATTTGAGACATTTTTCTGGTTAATTTTAGATCCCAGTTATTAAAGCTTTTGGCATCTTGAAGCGAGCAGCTGCTGAAGTAAACCAGGATTATGGTCTTGATCCAAAGATTGCTGCTGCAATAATGAAGGCAGCAGATGAGGTAGGTGGTGATAAATGTGTTTACTTAATGCCATCAGACATGGATCATGACAAGCTCTGGCATGAGGACAAGGGCACTGTGAATTATTGGGTTGATGATTTCAAGGCAAGATGGCAGCATTATTATTTAGTGAGGATATTCATATGATGCTTAAAATGTGGCAAAGTTCTGGATGCTTTTGTATCTTTTAATTCTTTTGACTTTTCTTTTTAATTGTTAAATGAAAAATAAAGTGCCAAGAATACTTAGACAACGAGTTTATTAGATAATCAAAATGAGAATTCAAACCTGGGAAGCATTCCAACACACTTTACTCTGAGAACTGTTCCAAATTGTAAGTTTCAATTTAGTTATATAGCCAGAAACAGTGAGTCATTAACATCAAGAAAATAACTGTTCTTGGTAGGAGGGGCTCTAGACGTTATATTGTCCCTATCCAAAGATAAAGTAATGTCAGAAGGCCATGAAGGCATAGGATCCAATGAGAGAAAGTAATGGTGCTTGCTGGTCTCCTCCCTCTGCAAGGAAGTAAAGACTGGATGCCCATTGTTAAATCTTTTTTTTCCCCCCTGAAAAAACTGATTTATACCTTCAAGTAGTAGATTTTTTTCATTCAAGGAGTGGAACCCATGAAGATGTCTTACTGTTTGCCCAGCAAACCAGGGGCATGGTTCCCAGAAAATTTTGCATTATGTTTACATAATTTATTCAGTTTAAAGAAAACTTTGTGAAGAGATACTTTCAACTTATATATCTGATTTCTTATTTTTTTTTAAAGATTTATTTATTTATGCATACAAGAGTTGGGTCACCGGCCAGACATGCAGGGGGTGAGAGGATTCACCAGAGACAGAGTAGGGAGCAGAACAGACAGATTGACTGAAAACACTGCTGAGGGAAGCAGCAGGAGAGACAGGAGAGGTCTGTTGCGCCATGTGGGCTGCTCCCTCGCCAGCCAGAGATTGAACTCTTGCTGCAGAGGCTGTGGATTGCTTCATAGTGCGGTGCTTATCCCCCTGCACCACCAGGGGAGGGCCTGATTTCTTATTTTTTATATAGAAGTGACTTCTTTTAAAATTAGTTGGTTTGATAATATGTATGAAGAATGTAATTTCACTAATCCATTAATCTTGAAGCAAGTAGACAACATGGTTTAAACACTACACAATTGTTCGTTGCAGTACTATATAATATTTATAATGATAACATATTAGGTTGTATCCAGCCATAACAGCTGCCTATTTATAAAGTCATAGGAAATTAGTGTTTTAAGAATGTCATAAAATAAAGCCTACCATATATGTATGTTGTTATTTTAATTTTGTTTAGAAAAAATCAACAGAAAGCATTTATTTTTTCATATATGCATATACACATCCTTGCTTGAAGTAGAGACTGGAAGGATATACCAATATGTTAATAATCATTATTCCTGAAAGGAGAACTGTGATGACTTACAGTTTTCTCAGTTCTCAAAGTTTTCTACACTGATAATCTGTTATTTTTTTGTGTAGCTAGGAGAAACTTTAAAGTGATAGATTTTACTTTAATAGAATTCTAAAGTGCAATGCAGATTATTTTTAAGCTAAAGTCACTCTGGTAGATTAAGCATCCACATGTGGAAAGCTTACAAGTCAAAAATTAACACATTAGCTAAAAGTAAAAAACATGAAAAAACAGGGGCAAATCTGCACCTTGTTTTGTCTTTGTCCTTGGCAATTGCTATTCATTAGACATCTGTGTGATTAAATAGCTTCAAAGTCCCTAATTCATTATCATGCTGACTCTGGCTGTAACATCCATTGACTGTTCCTGCTGAGCACCAACAGTAAATGTAGATGAAGACTTCATACATTTACCAGCCTTAATAGGTGATCCTATCCGGATATTATCAGAGAAAGCAGTTGGAGAAATAGAAAAAAGTTTACTGTGATTTCCATTTTGAAATCACTGAAATTGTTATACAATTCAGAGTAATTTTTCACTTTTTAAAGTAGCAGTTATTGAAACAAAGTAATGTCACAGAAGCTTCAATTTACTAGATAGCCATGAACTTAGTGGTCCTAGCAACAAATCATTTAGCTTATGAAAAATGTGAACATCTTTTAAAAAGTATATAATCATAGTTAATAAAATAGCTAAATAAATATTGACTATTTTTATTTATAAAAATTCATTTTTAATATTTTTTTCTTCAGGTAGCTGAAGGTAAATTAAATGATCATTTTCCTCTTGTGGTGTGGCAAACTGGATCAGGTACCCAGACAAATATGAATGTAAATGAAGTCATTAGCAACAGAGCAATTGAAATGCTAGGAGGTGAACTTGGCAGCAAAAAACCTGTGCATCCCAATGATCATGTTAACAAAAGCCAGGTAAGTATATATATTCTTTTCTTTGTTATAAATTGAAAAGAATCCTGAGATTTTTCTTGTAAAATAGGTAGCCTTTTTGACAGGGAGGATTCTCTCTGCTTATACTGTTTAATGAAAAAGACATCTTATTTGCTCTCCTTATTTCTTCTAGGAATCTTGGCTCTAGCTCTTATACTTTATAAAAATCACTTGTAAGACACCTAAGTATAATACATATGCATATTTTATTATCTGAATTATTTTTTTAACTATTCTATTTTGAAATAATTTTTTATTTATTGAAGAATTGCACTGATATCTAGGAGTTCCTCTGTCAGCTTCCCTAAATGTAAATATTTTATATAACCCTAGTACACTTACTGCCTAAGAAATAAACATTGGTACAATACTTTTAACTAAACAGACTTTTTAAGGATTTCCCTAATTTTCCACCAATATCCTTTTACTTCATGATTTTGGCTATGCTACCTTTTGCATTTAGTCTTTGTATACCCTTAGTTTCCTTCAGGCTATGTCAGTATTTTTTGTCTTCTATGAAAATTAGTGGTCAGATATTTTGTAGCATCTCCCTCAGTTTGGGTTTGTCTAATGTTTTCTCATGATTAGATTAAGACTATGGATTTTGGGCCTCCCCCGTGCTCTAGGGGTTCAGTCTCAGTGCTATCACTCCCTGCTACAGCCTGAGTTTGATCCCTGGTCAGGGAGCTAACCCACATATGGTGCAACAGACCTCTCCTGTCTCGCCCGCTACTCCCCTCAGTAGTGTATTTCGGTGGATCCTCCTGTTCTGCTCCCAACTCTGCTTCTGGTGTATCCTCTCACCTCCTGCACCTCTGACCTGTACCCCAGTTCTTCTACGCAAAAATAAATAAAAAATTGAAAGAAAAAAAAAGGCTGTGGATTTTGGGCACAACTATTAATGGAATGAAGGATTCTTCTCATATTACACCAGGGGTTCATGACAGCAACATGACAGTACTGGTTGTGTTAACTCTCGCTTGTTTAAGATGGTGTTTGCCAGCTTTCTCTGCTATAAAGTTACTGTTTTTCCTCTTCTGTTCTCTCTTACAATTGAGTCTCTAAGTTCTGCTTCTACTCCAGGTAGTAAGTACACTTACTATGCTTTGCTTCCCAGAGAGAGAAATATCAAGAAATGTGTTGATGTAAGTTAAAATTACCATAGTAATTAATAGAGAATTTTGAGGCTATGAAAATATCCTCTCAATTCTTCAACTTTTGCCACAGATTTTAGCATTCATTAGTGGATCTTGCCTATAGCAGTTACTACTGGTGTTTTAATACTACTGGTGTGGTGTTTTAATAGTGATTTTCTATTCCCCTCATTCTTTCTACATTTGTAATTGAAAATTTTTTGTAAAGATTAGTTCTCTCCCTCCACCTCATTTAGTTATTTATTCAGTCACTTGCTTTGTGTATATTGGTATGGATTTTGGATATTTATTTTATTCTCGGGGTTGTAATACAGTGCTTTTTTAAAATCAGATTATCAGTTCCAGTTTTGGGAGCCCTATCTGTTGGCTTCTATGTCTTTCAGAAAATCTCACCTTTTTTTTTTTAAGTATGTCTTTACTTCTTGCACAAACACTCCAAGCACCTTGTATTTTCCTACCCCAGACTCCATAATTCAACCATAATTTCCCAGGGAACTTTTAGAGAGTCTCATTGGAAAAAGACATTTAGAAACCAAGATTTTGGTGCTAGGTATTATTTAATATATTTTTCACTTTTAAAAGGGGATACTTTTTCATATAAATTCATTGTATCAAGGATTATTCAAACCCAATCATAATCTTTCAATATGAAATTATCCTTTATATATATTCTGAAATCCATTTCAAAATCATCCAGTGCATATGGTTGGATAGAGGATTATATAGTTATTATATAGTTATTATTGTATAGTTATATGTATATTACATTATATAGTATCTATGTTAATATATAATATACATACTATATAATATATACTGTACTATTATATAGTTACAGTGATATAAGATTGTCTATATTGATAATTACTTAGTAAGTATATGTGTGTTGATAATGTCATTCAAATAATGAATATGTCTTTTTAAATGGCATCATAATTAAAAATTATGAGGTTAAAGTTGCAGAAAGAACATAGAATTTGCACTATCTGGTCAGGTCAGTTTTGCCAGCTCCTAAATATTTTGGCAAGTCATGTAATTTTTTTAAAGCTCGATTCTTTTAGTTTTAAGTAGTTAAACCTACCTCACAAAAATTTCTTAAAATTTATAAATGAAGAAATATTTGTATAAGACTATGTATTGTGTGACTATATTTCTGCTTTCCTTACATGAAGTTGTTAACTGTACTTATCTCTTGCTTAGTAGCAGGCAGATTTAATAATAATATAAAATACATTCTGTTGGGGGGTGGGGGGCAGGAGGGGAGGGATTGGGGTCAGAATGGGGGGGTTGCAATTGTATGGGGAATATAAAAATAAAATTTATTATTTAAAAAAAATAAAATATTAAAAAAATAAAATAAAATACATTCTGTGTAGATGGTGTATATAATATAGTCCTGACTACATTCTATGTAAGAAACTAGGTTGTTTCTTGCTTAATTCTAAATGACCTGAGACTTGATACACATAAATGTATTTGTGTACTAAATGTACTAAGTTTTGAGTAGTCATTTAGTGAATTTTTCATTGAGACTTCCAAGTTGGTTTTTGTTGTACCTAATGTTTTACATTTCTTTTGTAAATTTCCAACAGAGCTCAAATGATACTTTCCCCACAGCAATGCACATTGCCGCTGCAATAGAAGTTCATGAAGTATTGCTACCAGGACTGCAAAAGCTACACGATGCTCTCAATGCAAAATCTAAAGAGTTTACTCAGATCATCAAAATTGGTCGTACTCATACACAGGATGCTGTTCCACTTACGCTTGGCCAGGTATGAGTACATTTGATTCAGTTTAGGGGTGGCACGAATGTCCAGCATGTTTCTCTCTGTATCACACAAAGCAGAGTTTTTGACACTCAGTGACAGATTGTGCTGCATTAAGAAATCAGTAATTTTTGTTCATATCCACTTAGGGAAAGAGCATAGCATGTTGACAATGAGCCAGACTCTGAGTCTTACTTTTGCTATATACAAGCTGTTGAACCTTAGGAAAATTATTAAGCCTTTCTGTGATAAATGAAGAAAATAGGGTGGTTGTGAGGTTCAAATAAACTTAATTCTTATAAAGTGCTTAGAGCCAAGGTAAGCATATATTGGTGTTAGCTATGATCATTATCATTTTTATATGTAGCATTATAATTTGTAAGGAAATACAGGTTGTCTTTGAAACTTTCATGTGTAACCTGTTGGAAAGTGCTATGGTCAGTTCATTTGTATCATTACTCAACCACCTGTGTAAAATCACTATTCTGCCTGTTATGACAGGAAGTTATATTTTCCTGTTTGACTATTTTATTTCAGCACTTATACTTGTTTTTATTGGAATTATCTTTTGAGTTCATGTGGTATTTTCCCCAATGAAAATATATTTCTGAAGTGAATCCAGCTGGCATATACATGAGTGATGTGAGATAGATCAAGTCTACCAGAAAGGACTTATATCTTCTAAAATGTTTTATTTGGAACAGCTTGAAAGCATGTTATTAATCCAATTATTTATGGTTTTTCTGTGTTTTTAGGCAGAAAAAGCACATAGATTTGGTGTAACCATGTATCACTTGCTCGGATGATATACTAGTTAATAGCTTCTGTCTCCTCAAAATTCTTAGTGAGACATTTGCTGTGTTCAAAACATAATAGATCCTGGGGTTACCTTACTTAAAGTGAGTCATATTTTGGAAACTAGTGTAATTTTAATACAGAATTAAAATGCAATTGAAGCTATAGTCTTACTCTGTCCTGTTAAACTTCTTGTGCTATTTAGCTAGCCACTATCTTCTTTTGTCCCTGTAAAATATTTTAAACTGAGATAATATGGAGAATATTTCTATGGCTGCTTAAATTTTTGGGAGAGTTTAGTTTTGTTTTTTTTTTTTTTAGATTTATTTATTTATTTATACAAGCACTGGGTACAGTCAGAAGCGCAGGAGGGTAAGAGAATTCACCAGAGCCAGAGCAGGGAACAGAACAGGCAGACTGATGAAACACACTGCTGAGGGGAGCAGCAGGCACAGCAGGAGAGGTCTGCGTGCCAGGTGGGACCCTCTCGGCGGCTGGGGGTCGAACCGGTGCTGCAGAGGCTGCGGGTAGCTTTGCAGCCCAGCGCTCAACCGCTGCACCCCTGGGGAGGCCCAAGTTTTGTTTTGTTTTTTTCTCAAAGTTGTCTGGGAAACCCCAGACAATAAGAAATTATATGCAAATTAAACCAGTCTTTTAAAGTTTATTTCCTGTCTTCTTTTCTTTCAATTAAAAGAGTAGATTATAAACAAGTAGTGTGGTATCATCACTGGAAGTGCCCTGCCTTATAATAGGTTTTTTAAATCCTCATTTTTTCCTATATGTTGCTTGTCATATGAATTAAAATAGTATAAATACCACCTGTACTTATAATTTATTGCTAACTGTATTTAAATTTTTTCTACTTAATGCACTTAACTTTTAAGCCATTAGAAAATTACATATTCTGACCTTAATTTCCTTCTCTTCTCAGGAATTTAGTGGTTATGTTCAACAAGTGAAATATGCAACAACAAGAATAAAAGCTGCCATGCCAAGGATTTATGAGCTGGCAGCTGGAGGCACTGCTGTGGGTACTGGTTTAAATACTAGAATTGGCTTTGCGGAAAAGGTTGCTGCAAAAGTGGCTGCACTCACAGGTCATTGATAATATAAATTATTCAGTTTCATCTTGCTGGTCCATATGTTTTCTAGGTGTTTCTACTGAAATCTTGTGAATTTAAAGTTAAAATTATATTCTTTGACCAAACCTGTGTTTTATGTTTGTTTTTGCAATTCTAATGTTAATTCTTTTGCTTTTTAAAAAAGTTTTCCATCTGAATTCATAAAGCATGTAATTAAAGTCATATCAGTGAGTGCTAACTTTACTGTTTGGTGGTATTCAATTTTTCTCTCTAAAAATATTTTGGATAGTCACTTTCAAAACAGGTGGAATCAACTGATGGTTAAGAAATTCAATGAAGGATAAATATGTTATAGATACTGACAGGATTGATTTCTTTTTTTGTCCTGTGTCATATTGTGATAATTCTTAGAGTTAATGACCTTTTTGATTTCTCTTTCGCTTAGTAGAGAGAGTACTATATACTCTCTCTACTAAAGAGTAGTTATCATTATCTAGATGATGATAACTGTTGACCAGTTGTCATCTCCAGATAACTCTTAGTAGGATGCAGATGTCACCAGTGGGTTAGAGTAGAGATAATTAGATAATGTCTATTATTGCTTATTAGCAGACTTGTTTTTAATAAAATTTTAATGAAGAGGAACTGCATTATAAGGGCCAGAATATGTAGATCTTTACATTTTTGAACATGGGAGAGATTGACTGAGAATATCTAACTCATTTTGGTTTCCTATACTTTTCAGAGGATATTGTGGGCTTCTGGCTATAGAACAGCTTAAGAAGGGGAGAGGGATTTTGTTAGGAAAGTGTGGAATCACATGGTCAATTTTATCTACTTTTCATCTTTACTCAAGAGTAATCAGGAATCATACATGTTTATAATAGTTTAGTGTTTTTACTTTCAATGTATTTGTTTTTCATCCTTCAAATGTGGTAAGTGTCACTAGATTCTTCCTACTCATTCAGGACTTTTTTTACCCAATATTTTTTTAGTAGCCTTTTATTTCCATATTTGCTTAATAGAAAATGAGTTTAGCAATTACTTATGATCTTCTATGCAAGAGATAAGCATCGTGATATACATCCTTCTATACATTATACACGTGAATACATCTGGAGGAAGATATATAAAAGTCTTATTTTCATAGCTAATAGTATTTTACAAGTTTTTACTTTGCCAAACATGCTAAATATTGCTCTGAGAAGATGGACACCATGGGAGTAATAAGGTCCTATAGCAAATGTTTCCATATTTATTTATATATGTACTTATGACAAAACTCCTTTTCTGAGATATAGAGGTTTTTATTTCTTGATTTGTTTTATTGATGTAACATTGGTTTATAACACTGATTCAGAAGTATAGGGTCAAAACCTCTTCAGATGTATGTCATCAATATATGGACAAAGGTTAAATTTTAAAATAAGGATTTTCTTCTGAAGTAAAACGTTCATTCTGGTCCTTTTACATATCCTGTGACTTATTGTTTAATTGGTGATACTAGATATTTCATTTTTCTTTTTAACTCAGATATATTATTACTGTGTTTTCAGGCTTGCCTTTTGTCACAGCGCCAAATAAATTTGAAGCTCTGGCTGCACATGATGCTTTGGTTGAACTCAGTGGAGCAATGAACACTACCGCTTGCAGTCTGATGAAGATAGCAAATGATATTCGTTTTCTGGGTTCTGGTCCTCGCTCAGGTCTAGGAGAACTAATTTTGCCTGAAAATGAACCAGGAAGTAGTATCATGCCAGGTAAGCTGGTAAATGTTAGAGCTAGAATCTGGCTAGTACCTAGTCATTCTCATCTATAGAACTGTTTCCTTTTGTTTTTAACATAATCCCAAAGAATGGATGGGACATGTGTAGCATACTTGTTACAGAACTTCTGGGAACATCATTCAACGATATAGGAAAAAAGCAGGACCTCCCAGGTGGCTCAAGGGGTTAAGTTTCAATATGGTCGGGCTATCGCCAGCCACTGCAACATGAGTTCTATCCCCAGCCAGGGAACTAACCCACATAGCGCAGCAGGCCTCTCCTGTCTCAACCTGCTGCTCTGCTCAGTAGCGTATTTCAGTCAGTCTGCCTGTTCTGCTCCCCACTCTGTCTCTGGTGAATCCTCTCACCCTCTCTCTCCCATACCTCTGGCCTACACCCCAGTTCTTGTATGCATAAATAAATAAAAATAAATCTTTAAAATAAAAAAAGAATTCTAGTTGGCAGTGTATATTTTGATTGCCACCTTAGAAAATGTACAGTAATTCCACTTTCACAATCCAGAGCTAAGAGAATTCTAAAACAGACCATTAACATTGTCAACATGGGTTGAATAAAATTGAATTATAGCAAATGTCTGTTATTTCATTTTTTTGCTATAGATTTTGGCCTGTTAGATAAGGGAAGTGACACATTAAATGTCTGCAACTTAGGAAATTATTTGACAAACTCACATATTTATTAAATCCTGTGGAGAATTGTGGGTAGTACTGGTAGATAAATATAGATGGGCGAACAGTGACATTTAAGGAGTGACTAATGAGTTGATTTCAGAGTAAAGAATAACTTAGAAGCAAGTTATTCATCATTTTTCTGATGACTGACAGTAAAAGCAGAGAAAACATACTCATATTAGCAGGTAACAAAATTGAGAGAGCAGTACATCAGATGATGAAAATAAGATTCATAGAGGTTGGACTAAAACTGACAAGGTAACTTTTTAATAGTAAAAAATAACCTCATTTTACTTTTCTTATATCTATGCATATATAGAATGAGAAAAATTGACAAGAGTTTAGTTAATTACAAATTCAGTGTGATAGCTTTAAAAAGAATTGGTGAGTCACAGATGAGTAAATAGTCGTCCCAACGTGTTGCCTTTTATGATCAGAGGAATCTGGGTTGTTTGATTCCAACTTGAGCTTATCAGAAGAGTGTTACCAGCATGGTGGGGTGCTGGAGACTCATGATGAATAACAAAAGTACAACTTAATGTCAGTTTCCTTTTAGAACCTCCCACATGTTGGTGAGGTGCTAGCTCTTTTATATAAGTGTTCCCATGGTAGACTGCACTTATCTCTATTTATACCATATCCATTGTAATTGCCAGCTCTCTGTTTTCCTAACCTTCAAGCTCTGCAAGTACAGAGCCTGCATTTTTTTTTTTTTACACACTGCTATATATTCAGTGCTATCTTCATAAATATTTCTAGAATGAATGAAAACTCTGAAGATGGAGAATACTACATTTAACATATAGTTGTCAGTACTTATTACTCATTAGCTGTTGGATGATTTAGTCTATGGCTACCCATCCCATTTTCTTTAACTGGTTAATTTCATTAAACTGGCACTGATGGTTGGATTTTTATTATATGCCTTGCTTTATTTGACAGAATTAGCTTTTCTTCTTTTCTTGAATTTCACATAAAACCTAATCTTAATTGATACCTGAAGCCATGAGCATATTTGATGTGTATTCTTTCCTTGGTGGATTTCTTCAAGGCAAAGTGAACCCTACCCAGTGTGAAGCAATGACCATGGTAGCAGCGCAGGTAATGGGGAATCATGTCGCTGTTACTGTTGGAGGCAGCAATGGACATTTTGAGTTGAATGTTTTCAAGCCAATGATGGTAAGTTTTAAATTAAATTTTTAATATTTTGAATTTGTTTTTTGTCTTGCATAAAGGTTTTTAGAGATTCTATATATGTGGGTGATATAAGTAGCATTTGGAAGTCAGGTATATGTTAATGTTTGAGAGTTATTCCCAGACATTTATAAGTGACTTTCAGCTGAAGTTTCCCCTTTTTTAAAAAATATTATTTATTTAGGGCCTTCCTAGTGGCGCAGTGGGTTGAGCACAGCTCTGTGAAGCTGTCCACAGCCTCTGCAGCACGTTTTCGATTCCTGGCCAGCCAGGGAGATACCCACATGGTGCGGCAGACCTCTCCTGTCTCTAACGCTGCTCCCCTCAGCAGTATATTTCGGTCCTTCTGCCTGTTCTGCTCCCTGCTTTGTCTCTGGTAAATTCTCTCACCCTCCTGTGCCTCTGGCCTGTACCCCAGTGCTTGTATAAATAAATAAAATCTTTTAAAAAAATATTTATTTATTGGGGGCCTCCCTGGTGGCATAGCGTTAGTCTCAGCACTATCAAACTGTTGCCAGTCACTGTGTCATGAGTTTCATCCCCAGCCAGGGAGCTAACCCACATGGTGCAGCAGACCTCTCCGGTCTTGCCCACTGTTCCCCTCAACAGTGTCTACCTCCCCTCAAAAGGATCTACCTGTTCTGCTCCCTATTCTGTCTCTGGTGAATCCTCTCACTCCCCACACCTCTGGCCTACACCCAGTTCTTATATGCGTAAATGAGTAAAAAAAATCTTTAAAAATATCTATTTATTTATTGAGGAAACATTGGTTTATAGCATTGTATTTGATTCAGAGAAATAGGTTCACATCTCCTCAGATTTGCATGACCACACCCAGCAAATCCAGAGCACACCCACCAAATCCAGAGCACCCATATCGATTTATCATATACCATTGGAACCCCTCCGTATTTTGTCCTCACCCTCTCTTTCCCCCTCTGGTAACCTCAGTTCTGCAGTCATAGTTCTAGACTTCATTATACTCTGAAACCAGCTCCCATAAAGAATAAGCAGGTAGAAATAGAAGATAAAGGCAAACCATTTCATATTGGTATGTGGCAGTTTTATTAACCAAAGGAGCTTACTTAAGAGGTTTGTCTTGAGTTGCTGCAAACCCAGTAGTTTTCTGCACCTACCACCAAATTTTGGAATTTTATATAGTGGTTTTAACTCTCTTCAGTCACCTATACAGTCGATAGTCTCACTAATACACTACATGACCATCTCCTTAGAGCAGCTTCTGGGAATGCACATTCTAAGGGCCAAAACTGTGACGTACATTTTAAGGGGAGGAGGTATGGAGCTTTGATTGCTTGGGTCAAGCTCCTAGTTCTCTCTTCTTTCCTCCATTTTATGGAGTTGATCTTAGTTTACAATTGTACAGGTTCCAGAGTACATTTTCTTACCTCAGCAACTGTATTTATCTCACCATGCCCACCGTCAAATAATCTATGAATGCATGATGAATGCATCACCAACCAATGTTCTCTTGATTGCCTTCCTCAACAGTCTCATTAAGCACTTTCTCTGCAGTTCTCTCTCATTTTCCTGTCAGGGTTTCTTTAGTATTATCTCTTTCAATTACCTTTGTCCTTTAAAACTGCTTTTTCTTTTATCTTTGTGAAAATGGAATAAGATGGCATCTTTATCCAGTTTCTCAGCTTCCGATAATGGAAGCTGGAATGTCATTATGTGGAATGTCATTATGTGGAGTCCTCTTTTTGTGTAGTGTTATATCTAAAAGATAGGAGGTTTATTTTCATTTTATATCTGATGCAAAGTCTGATTTTAATTTCATTGGAATATGCAAATGGCTAACATTAAATATATTCACTCAGTGAATTCACCAAATATTTATTGAGTATTAGTGTGTATCAGGTACTGTACTGATTGGTTGTACTGTACAATACTGTACTGTATTGGTTGCTGGGTGACAGACAATGAGCAAGACAGATTTTTATTTTTTGCCATCATGGAATCTACATTCTAGTGGAAAACAGAAAGGAGACAGAGCTCAATTTTTGTTTTCAAGTTAATTTCGAAATAACTGTCAATAATACCAGCTGTCTGGTAAATATAGGTGCATAATACTAAATCTCTTGTGAATCCTTTTTTTTCTAGACATCTATTTTTTGATCAGATTTTCGTTACTTGTGTGGATGGTTTTTCACTATATTTAAATTTCAGTGTCCTTTTAAATGTTCAATTTCTTTGACATTTGTTTTCTTTACCATAGTGCCTTATAAATTGTAGAAGTGTTGTATATTAAATTACATACTCATTTGTTCATCAAATAATTGTTACTGGCCCAAAAAGTTAGGCTTAATAAGTTTCCCTGTCTCTCATAGATTAAAAATGTGTTACACTCAGCCAGACTGCTGGGAGATGCAGCCGTTTCCTTTACAGAAAATTGTGTAGTTGGAATCCAAGCCAACACAGAAAGGATCAACAAGTTAATGAACGAATCTCTAATGTTGGTGACAGCTCTTAATCCTCATATAGGTAAGGGTTTAAGAAATGATAACGTTATTTTAAAGTAAAATCAAAATACTGAAAAAATTTTAAGACTACTGGATAAGTGTTTGTGAATAGCCAATTCCTTTTGGATGTTGTCTCAGTAGTAATCTTAAAATACTTGAAATTGCATTAAAAAGACTATATTTTTTATGATAGCATAATACTTTTAAAAACTTGAATATTGTCTGTTTTATTTGAAATATGACAAATTCAGAAGTAGTAATTCAAGCTTATTATAATTGTAACGGAATTCAGACAGTTTGCTATTCTCTGCAGACATTTGTGAAAGGTCCTTTTGGTTGGTAATGTCACTAGGTGGCACTGGCTGTTAGCAAGAGGGAATGAATTATTCTATTTTCTCTAGATGCTCAGCTACACTTTCTTTTGTTGTTTTGTTCAATTCCAAAATGGTAAGTTACCAGTTAAAACAAAAGACAGAGAGACAGAGGAGAAAATGCAAATATTTTGTTTAAAACCATGGTTTTTGTATTGCAGGCCTTTTCCAGAATTGTAAATATTTCATGATATAAATTCAAACATAGAATTGAATTGTAAACTCAACCATATACTATTTAGCTTGTAGGTTTTGAGTTATTTGTTGCATTGTATTATGTGCTAGAAGTTTTACCATCTTAGCACTGAGCTGAGTGCAGTGGTAACATATTTTTTGATAGTCTATTTAAAACAAGTTATGACATAGTTATTTTACGTGATACTATTACTCTTTAAAACATTTGTACTTTTATAATCCTTAACTTTCAGGGCAAATTTAATATTCTTGGCCTCATATTAAGCTGCAATTTCAGTCTCATAAAACTAAAGCTCATTTGACAGCTTCATGTAGGTCTGAGCCCAAATAATATCTGTTCTGTGGTATAGTATTGAAATCGATAATGATATTTTACCCTTTTAATATTATTGTACAACATCATTCGGCTGGAGAGATACATGGGGGAACTCAAAACCTCATATCTATACTTCAGAATTTGTTTTCAAACCATTTAGAGGTACTCCTAAATCTGAATGATAAGTCCTTGTAATAAAGTTAATGTGAGTTAAAGGCTATATGAGGCAAACCACCCCTTACTGGTGACTGAATGAACTTCACAACTCCACATTGTGGTACTCTGGTGTGCTCATATTTCACAGACTGACTACTAATAGTTTTTAGTGGACTTGAAGAAAACTGAAAATGGCTTAGACTTAATGTCATTGTTAACATTAAAGTTAAATATGTAAGCTTAACTTGAGAATTCCTTTTGAAAGTTACTTTGGTCAGCAAATGCCCTTTTCAACATGTTTAGCATTCACAAATTAAGTCAAATAATAAAATTAACTGTGCAATGGCAGACCCTTCTCCCTCACCCCCACACCCCATCTCTCCTCTCCGCCCCCCCACCAGTTGGCTTTGTAGATGTTTTTAAATTACCTGGTGACACATGACATCTTGCTTGGTTGATACTCATATTGCCTCAGTAGACTTATTTTCTTTGATCAGAGTCCTCTGATCTTAGTTTCCTTTTTTATTTTCATTTAATTTTTGTTTTCTCTATTCTTTATTGCTTTTGCATTGACTTTTTAAAAAACTACCTTAAGACACCTGCAAAACGGCCCTGCACCTACCTTTGCTAATTTTAAAAGCAAATAACTCGGAAGTAAACAGTGCTCCTGTGATATTTTGTTCAAGTATATATATGCTAAAACTCCCCCACCTATATTCTTATAATGTCTGGCAAGAGGCCTGTGTGTGGAGAGATAATTAGGAAAGAGCTGTTGGAAGCAGCTGTGCAGGCGCACCTCTCAGCCCTGGCTGCATCGCCCTTATTGTACAAAGACTTCTTGTCTTTCCACTCTTCTGAGCCAGTCACCCCAGTTCCTAGTCATGTAGTATTCTATGTATTTCTGTACTACTGCTGCATTTAGCTTGTTAATGCTTTGTTAGAAAGAATTGTTTCTAAATATATCTGACTATATTTTATGTCTGACTATATTTAGATGTATATTTTTATGTCTTTGTGCTGATTGTTTTGTTTTCTGTCACCTGTGAAAACATCGGCGCTAGTGTGCAATTTCATTTTGGAAATTAATCTGTTATAGAAAGTGAGGAATGCTTAAATCTGTAATGTTTTAGAAAAGTAAAGATTTTACTCTGTAAAAAAACAACGGCTCACTGTTAAATATCTTTTAAGAATAAAATGATACTTAAGATACCAGCACCAGGGCCTCCCCAGTGGTGCAGCTGGTTGAGCTCAGCACTGTGAAGCTGTCCGCAGCCTCTGCAGCGCAGGTTCCATTCTCGCCCAGCCAGGGAGAAACCCACATGGTGCAGCAGACCTCTCCTGTCGCACCCGCTGCTTCCCTCAACAGTGTATTTCGGTCCATCTGCCTTTTCTGCTCCCCACTCTGTCTCTGGCGAATCCTCTCACCCTCCCGCACCTCTGGCCTGTATCCCAGTTCTTGTATAAAAATAAATAACTCTTTAAAAAAAAAGATATCAGCAGCAGTATATCAAGTAAATAATAATGTTATTTTGTTGTAGAAAACTGAATTTCTCTACTAACTCCTACATTGTCTTTTTTTTCTTCAGGATATGATAAGGCAGCAAAGATCGCTAAGACAGCACACAAAAATGGATCAACCTTAAAGGCAACTGCTATTGAACTTGGCTATCTCACAGCAGAACAGTTTGATGAGTGGGTAAAACCTAAGGACATGCTGGGTCCAAAGTGATTTAAATGAATTTATCATAAAAATAATTATGTTGTATAAAATAAAATGGATTCCATATATTTCATAAACTTTCAATAAATGTGAAAACTGCCATTGAACTTTATTCTCTCTAGCAGAGTGATTTTATCAGCATATAAACCCCCAGGACATTCTAGGTCCAGAGTGAATTTAGGTCCAGTGATGAAGTACTTGTTACATATTGCCAAATCACGTCCTCAGACATCCTTTATTTTCCCGTCATTTGGGGATACTTGACTTCCTGAGTGAAAATATGTATGTCTGTGGTCATAGGAGCTTATACATGTGTGTGTGCACACACACATTTATCAGGATAGGTTAAAAATACATTGTTAGGACCTACATGTTTCATGTGCTAATCACTCACAGACACACACACAACCTTATTTGAATTCTCATAGAAAAATTAGACTGTGTCAAGAATTATAGGCTATGGATTAGAAAAGGCAAGGGAAACAGGCATGTAACTTGCAGAGAAAGGATGTCATGAAATTGTGTCTTGTCTGTCATCCCTCTGTGTACCAATGCCAGGAGTTTTCAGCAGGAATTCATGTGAAACCATCTCAGGAGATTTTATTTTTTTTAAGATTCATTTATTTATACAAGAACCAGGGTATAGGCCACATATGCGGGAAAGTGAGAGGATCCACCAGAGACAGAGTGCGGAACAGAACAGTCAGACTGAAATACACTGCTGAGGGGAGCGGTGGGTGAGACAGGAGAGGTCTGCCGGGCTATGTGGGTTGCTCCACGGCCAGCAGGGATCTAACCAGCACTGCAGAGGCTGCAGACACTTCACAGCACTGCGTTCAACCGCCTTCACCACCAGGGAGGCCCTCAGGAGATTTTAAAGAGATTGTTTTGTTTTCAATATTAGCTATGTCACAAAAGTCTATTCTGAAGTTGGATAGAAAAATATTTATACATTTTGACAATGATATCCTTTTCAATCAGGAAAATGCCATGGCCTTTGTGAATTGTGTCCAGACCACAGTCAGTTTCAAGTACAAATTTGTTACACAGGTTTCTTAATTTAGTGAAAAAATCATTTTTATCACAAAATTGCTCCACCAAAATATTCATTTACTGTGGATCAAATAATTTTATCTCTGGGGCCTCCCTGGTGGCGTAGGTGGTTGAGCTTGGCACTGTGAAGCTGTCCGCAGCATCTGCAGCGTCAGTTCAATCCTGGCCAGCCGGCGAGAATCCCACATGGCGAAGCAAACCTCTCCTGTCTCACCCGCTGCTCCCCTCAGCAGTGTATTTCATCAGTCTGCCTGTTCTGTTCCCTGCTCTGTCTCTGGTGAATCCTCTCACCCTCCAGCGCATCTGGCTTGTACTCCGGTTCTTGTATAAATAAATAAATCTTTTTTTTAAAAAAAAAGCAATTTTATCTCCAATACTAAATCTTTTAATAATATTTATAATCATTCATGATAGTTTTACTTCATATACCACAACAAAAGATAAATCATTGGAAATAACTGATCTATTTGAAACATCTGATGACCAATGTGAAAATGGCATCATTTAACTCTCTTTCTGTAAATGAATCCACTATAACTTCACTATTTTTCAGACTTTAAAAAAAAATATTTATGCATATAAGAACTGGGGTACAGGCCAGAGGTGCAGGGGGTGAGAGGATTCACCAGAGAGAGTGGGGCAGATCTACTGAAATACACTGGGGAGGGGAACAGTGGGCAACACAGGAGAGGTCTGCTCTGCCATATGGGTTGCTTCCCAGCCAGCTGGGATCAAACTTGTGCTACTGTGGCTGCCAATAGCTTGATAGCGCTGCCTTTAACTCCCGCACGACCAGGGAGGCCCATTTTTCTGACTTAATTTTTAGAGCAGTTTTAGGTTCTCTATACACTGAGAGGAAGGTACAAAGAATTTCCATATACTTGGCACCCTAACATGCACAACCTCCCTCATTATCAATACCCCCATAGAGGGGAACATCTGTTAACAACTGATGAACCTGTATTGACACTTTATCACAGAAAGTCCATAATCAACATTAGGGTTTACTCTTGGTATACATTTTATGGATTTGGACAAATGCATAATGATGTGTATTGTGGCTTCACTTTTTGTATGTTCTTAACAAAACGTGGAAGCAGAAACGTGAAATTCATTTAGAAGTCATTGGACCTAAGTGATAATGTAAAATGCACGCTGCAGTTGCATATTTTACCATCCTTGAGGACTAACTTTTAAAGTAAATATTAACTTTTGAAATAGATGCTGAAGCTTCAACATATTTGTGTCTTCTGTTTTTCTTATGGTTGGTGATATTCGCAAGATAGATGTAAATTTTGGATAAATATTTTGAAAAAATTGAATGTTCATCCTTAACTTCTTTGTTAAATGAAAATCAGTATTTCATTTTTAAATTAGTGATTTTTATAGTTTTATTATTTCTGAAGAAGCTTATTTTAAAACATCAAATAACAGTTGTAGATTTATGCAACATAGTACACATCAAAAAATATTGTAGTAACGAGTGCTGAAACTTAGCAAGATTACTTGATTTTATTTCCCACATGTTTAGTACTGGCCTGTATTAGCTTTGTATTGCTGCTGTAACTACCACAAATTTTTTGACTTAAAATGAAAGAAAGTTATTCCATAATTTTGGAGGCCAGAAATCCAAAATCAGTCTCACTTATCAGCAGGGCAATTTCCTTCTGGAGACTAGAAGAAAACTTGCTGCCTTGCCAGGAATCCTACAAGGTTAGGATACTGCAAACCTCTGGTCAACACATTTCCATCAACTGATCTATACCTAAACCTTATTTTTTGCATTTTTAAAGACACCTTGTTTAATATATATTGTTGACTCATTAACAGTGAACTTAAGACCATAGCACTATAGTTCAAGGCAGCACCACCAAGCTTACCTAAGACTACTTTCTACATGAGGTACATTGCAAACTTTTTGCACTTAAAAATACTAGGAAGCACTGTAACACTGTGTTTGGGGTTCATATTCAGTATTAAAGTCAATAACAGGGCCTTTCCGGTGGCGCAGTGGTTGAGCGCTGGGTTGCGAAGCTGCCTGCAGCCTCTGCAGCGCCAGTTCGATCCCCGGCCACATGGCAGGCAGGGTCCCACATGGCAGGCAGACCTCTCCTGCCACCCACTGATCCCCTCAGCATTGTACTTTGTCACTCTGCCTGTTCTACTCTCCGCTTTGACTCTGGTGAATTCTCTCACCCTCCAGCACCTCTGACTATATCCAGTGCTTGTATAAATAAATAAATAAATAAATAAATCTTTAAAAAAAAAATAAAGTCAATAACAAAAGGCACAAAATGAGAAAAAATGTGGCACTAACTAGACCCTGAAAAGGAATGAGAGTGGAGATAAAAGGGTAGAGTTTGCCTCATTTGACCTCAGTTGGAAACCTGTATCAGTGACCCAAACTGTTTTACTCTGCTTGTATACAGAGGGCCACAAACGTACTATGAACATTGATTTTGAAGTTACAAATAAAATTTGGTGAGTAGGTGAATTAGCAAATACAGAATTCTCAAATGATGAAGAGTGACTTTTACCAGACTTTACCAGAAGTACCATATGTTGCTAACAGCAATTGTATAAGGATCCTCTTTGAGCAAACAATAAGCCCTGTCATTTCAAAAATTGCTAAACTAATATATTTGTAAAAAGTATTTCATTGTTATAGATTGTATGTCTTCTATTACTACTATAGTTAACTTTTAAATGTATTTATTAGTCATTTGTTTTTCTATAAATTTTTGTTTCTGAGCTTTATTTTCTATTGGGTTTAATGTGTTGTTATCAATTTGAATAAGTTTTGTATTTATCAAGTTTATCAAGCCTTTGAGATAGTTTATATATTTTTTTCTAGCTTTGTGTCTCCCTTCTAGCTGAGTTTGCAGATTTTTTTTTTTTTTAATACAAGAACCGGGGTACAGTCCAGATGTGCGGGAGGGTGAGAGGATTCACCAGAGAGAGAGCTGGGAACAGAACAGGTAGATCTACTGAAATACACTGCTGAGGAGAGCAGCGGGCGAGACAGGAGAGGTCTGCACCTTGAGGGATGCTCACCGGCCGGCTGGGATCGAACCCTTGCTGCAGAGGCTGCGGACAGCTTCACAGTGCAGCACTCAACCTCCTGCACCACCAGGGAGGCGCTGCAGATTTTTTTGCATATAGAAATTTGTATTTTTATGGAGCTTTCAAATCCATCTTTTAAACTGTGAGGATATTTGGAAGCAAAGGAGAAAGACAGAATTATAGTTTAAGGGACAACAAGAGTCCAGAAAAGTCTTATTCCTGTTTATTTGCTCCTTTTCTCCTCAGTCCTGCCTTTTTTATTCAGATTTGTACCTCCCTTCTTTCATTCTTTTCTCTTCCTGCCTCTTTCTTTCCCCCTCCTTCTCTCCCTCCTCCTTCTTCCTTTTTTCTTTATTTCCTTTCACCCTTCCCTCTTCCCTTATTTTTACATGTGTAAAAAGCTTGAACTTTTTATTGACAAAGAAAGATTTGAAAAGAGACTAAAGACACAAGAGAGAATCTGTTTTATGGAGTAGTGTTCCAAAAGAAACAAGAACTAATGCCACAGGTAGCTTAGATTTAGTAAGAAATAGGACATGATTTATATTTTAAACTGGAGATGCTGAAGTTAGTGACCTAAAGAGAGGTATCTAATTCTTTCCTGGAATTTCTGTTCCAGAATACCTGGCACGTGATTGGTTGGTGCTCAACAAATTCTCCAGGAGGCAAAGGTTGAAGGCACAGCATAGCATCAAGCACTGTCTTGTTAGAAACACAGGTTTTCTTTAAACTTCAGCTTTATTGAGATATAACACTTTTATTTTGGTGCTCAGATGAGTTTGTTTCTTTAAATACTGTACCTTACCAAGTACATTTTTTTTTTAAAAAAGATTTATTTATTTATTTATACAAGCACTGGGTACAGTCAGAAGCGAGGGAGGGTGAGAGAATTCATCAGTGCCAAAGTGAGGAACAGAACAAGCAGACCAAGGAGGGGCACAGCGGGCATGGCAGGAGGGGTCTGTGGCACCATGTGGGACCCTCGCCCTCGCCCGGGGGCCGGGGATCAAACCGGCACTTCAGAGGCTGCAGGCAGCTTCGCAGCCAGTGCTTAACCACTGCACCACCAGGGGAGGCCCCTTACCAAGTACATATTTAAGAGTATTTTGCTGAATGAAACAATATGATAGATAGATACATGCATCTTGCTTGTTATACCCTAAAATTTTCTTTAGAAACCAGGAAAGAAAAGACTCTTCTTTAGGCTGTGTCTGCTCAATGACATAAATTTGACTGCAATTCCAGTCAAAGAGAGACACTTAAAGGACTTTAGGTCTGTTTTGCAGACTAGCTTGTCAAGAAAAACAACACTCAAAGTTGTGTGGATTAGCCTGATTGATTTATCACATCAATCAGGTCCTGTAGAGTGTACAGGAAAGATGTTAAGGGTTTGAACATGTGATAAAACTTAAATGTTCTTGTGATTATCAAACCAACCAGCAAGAATGATGAAATAGGTGGGTCTCAGAGTTCTCAGGGTCTCCTCTTTGGTAAACAGGGGATTATGGTGGAGGTTTATGGGTGTTTTGGTGATGGGTATGTTGTGGAAACATGTCTGATGAGGTGTACACCT